CCTGGAACTTGCTATGTAGACCAGGCTGGCCTGGAACTCACAGAGATCCACCTGCTTCTGCCTCCTGAGTGCTGGGATTAAAGGCGTGCACCACTACTCCCAGCCTGTCCTAGTATTCTGGAGGCTAAGGCAGGCTGATCTCTGTGAGATTGATGCCAGCTTGGTCTAAATAGCAGGTTCCAGGCCAGGTGGGACTATGGGAAGACCCTGTCTCAAAAAAATTTTTTTTTATTCCAAAAAAAAGGATGGCAAGCCAGTTTATAAAGGGAAGACCCCAGGCATGGGACTGGCAAAGAGAAAGGCACACAAACACTTACCTGGGTGTAGAGGGAGTTGTTGAGGCCTTGGCCTACCATCCACAGGGCCAGAAAGCAGGAGAGGTGGGCAGTCAGTGTCATGGTGCAACGCTAAGTGCTTGGCAGGGGCAGGAAGCTGCACAGATCAAGTTGGTGGGGGCGGGGCTTGAGAAACCACTAAGGGAAACTAGGCTTGGGGTGGAGGGTGGACCCTCTGCCTGCCTGTCACCCACCCCTTTCCCTTTACTCAATAGCAGCACTTGGCCACCCTGTTCTAGACAATTCTAGGGATACAAAGACAGGTCCATCCTTAAGCTGGGTATGGCAGCGTATACCTTTAGTTCCAGCACTCAGGTGGCAGAGACAGGCAGATCTCTGTGAGTTCCAGGCCAGCCTGGTCTATGTAGAAAGTTCCAGGCCAGCTGGGGCTACAGGGAGACCCTGTCTCAAAAATAACCAAAAAACGAAACAAAACAAAGGCAGATCCATCCTTAAGCAGAGTGGGAGGTGGATCTTATAAAGATGTCAGAGCCATGATAGGAAATCCAGAGGGTACAGGCCACAAGTGCCTGGTGACCAGATGGGGATAAAGGGTGGTACATATCCCTTAGGGAGCCATTCTTGGTGTTCCTGGGAAACTCAGTCAACTTAAGGACTACTTTCTTCAAGAAGCCTTCCAGTTTCCCCACCATCTGGTATAACTACAGTCAAGTAAACCCCTGTTCACACCTGTGTCAGTCATCATCTGCCTCCCAACCACAGCAGAGGTGTTGGGAACATCCAGAAACACAGATCAGGTTCAATGGCTACTTGAGTTAGTTTAGAAATTCTTTTGAGGGGGAGGGAACAGGGTTTCATGTAGCCCAGGCTGGCCTTGGACTCCTTGTGTAACCAAGAAAGACCTTGAATTCTCAATTCTCTAGCCTATACCTTTTGGGTGCTATGGTTACAAGCATCCATGGATGTTTGTTGACTGAACAGCTTCTAGTTAGCTTCTGTCTTGTTCCTCCTCATGGTCTGGGAATGAGGTGAAAGAAAGATAACAGAAGGCATCACAGAACAAGACCAAAGTGAGGTCAGGGGCTGGGTGAGGGGCCTTGACACCTGTCAACTGCTGCCTCAGCTCTAAGTGGGTCCTTGGGCTGAGGGCCCAGGGCTTCGGGTCCTGGAAGTCATCCATTTATTTATTTATTTATTCATTCATTCATCCATCCATTCATTCATTTATAGACAGGGTCTCCCTGTAGCCCCAACTAACGTGGAACTCACTTTGTAGACCAAGCTGGCCTTGAACTCACAGGGATCCACCTGCCTCTGCCTCCTGAGTGCTGGGGCTAAAGGCATGCACCACCATGCCTGGCAGAGTCATCCATTTATATGTTTACTACCTCATTAAGAATTGTCTCGGGGGCTGGAGAGATGGCTCAGCGGTTAAGAACATTGGCTGTTCTTGCTGAAGACCCGGGTTTGAATCCCAGCACCCACATGGCAGCTAACAACTGTAACTCCAGTTCCAGGGGATCCGACAGCCTCTTCTGTCCCCCGCAGGCATTGCACGCAATACAGGTGCACTTACCTACATGCAGGCAATACACAAATACACATAAAATAAAAATAATAAATATTAAGAAAAAAGAATTGTCTCAGCACTGTTATGTTCCAGTAAGCTCTATTTGTGCCTCTCCCCAGGACAGTAAGCCAAGGGACTCCTCTGTTTGAAAAAATAGTGCTGTTTTCATTAGAACGCAGTGAACAGACTGTCCACAGAGTGTTGCCTGGCCTAACGGTCCTGGAGCCTATGACCTGCTCCTAGTGAATCTTGTGCTATGTGGTGTGTAGGGAGTGTCACTCAGGCCCTCTCTCCTGTGGAAGGGGAGGAGCTAGAGGCCCTTCTCTTTGTTCATCTTTCTCTTCCTCAAATAAACGAGCTCTGCAAGGCCAAGATCTTGGTGTGCTTTTGTCAGTGCTATGTCCCTGGTGCCTAACACATACCTGGTCTGCAGTGGCCACTCAGCAAACGCTTCTTGAATAAATGAACTCCCCTTCTTGATCACTCATACACTCACAGTGAAGCCAGGGTATCACCACCTCTGAGGAGAAAGACACCAACCAAGAGGCTTGAGAGGGATGTGGTGCTAATCCAGTGAGGGCAGGCACAGTCACTGGGGTAGTGGAGATTAGAAGAGGAGTTCTAAGCAGCAGGCTGAACTGGGCCTAATAAGTACAAAGTTGCAGGTTTGTATCCAAGTTTGAGTCACCAACTCTGCTTTTAGTCATCTCCCTCTGGGCCTTGGTGCCTCATCTCTAAGTGTCAGCAACAGTTCTTGGGTGGGATAACAGCCTAGCTGGGTAGTAGCATGGTAGTGACTCTACCACTAGTGTTCTAATATGGGACAAGGTTCAGTCTTAGAGTCAGCGAGACTGGAGTTCAAATCCTGTCCTTGTTACTTTGGTGGCCCCTGTTCTATAAAGTAGGGTAACAACAGCACCCCGTCCCTCTCTTGGCAAAGGGATTGTAGAGGCTCCTTGCCAGTGCCTTCAATGGTTAGAAAACAGCTTTATTAGGTGGGGATGATGGCTCATGTCTGTAACCCCAGCACTTGGGAGCCTGAGGCAAGAGTATTGCAGCAAATTCAAGGTCAGCCTGGCTTCATAGTAAGTTCCAGGTTAGCCTGGGCTTCATGAGAATCTGTTTCAAACAGCAAACAGCTTAACTAAGATGTGAGTCACCAATCACACAGTTTACCATAAGTGTGAGATTCAAAGTCTGGCATGGTGACTCATAATTATAATACTTGAGAGGCTGAGGCAGAAGGTTTGCCACAAATTAAAGTCCAGCCTGGGCTACAGATTTATACCCTACCTGAACACCCCCTAAATATGCAATTCAGAGCTAGGAGTGTGCTACAGTGGTAGAATCCCTGCCTAGCTTGTACAAAATCCTAGGGTCAATTCCCAACATCCCCCCCCCCCCGTAATTCAGTGACTATTTTGCTCATTTACATAATTGTAAAGCTATTACAGCTATTTAATTTTTGGACATTTTCATCGTTTCTCTTTTTATTTTATGTATATGACTTTTGTCTGCATGTATGTAAGTGCACCATGTGGGTGCAGGGACTCGAACCCAGGTCCTCTGGAAAAATTGCAAGGGTTCTTAATCTGAGCCATCTCTCTAGCCCCCTTTATTTTACTTTTGTTGTTGTTTTGGTTTTGAGACAGGGTCTCCCTGTAACCGTTCCAGCTGGTCTGGAACTTGTTATGAAGACCAGACTGGCCTTGATCTCACAGAGATCCAACTGCTTCTACCTCCCAAGTGCTGGGACTAAAGGCACGCACCACCAGGCCTGGTTGTTTTTCTCTGAATCTGCACTGCAGCATGTATCAGTATTTCAATCCTTTCTAAAAATTTTTAAAGTATTTATTTTTTATTTAATTATTATGTGTATCTGTGTATTGGTATGTGCATATGCATGCAGGCAACTGTGGTGACCAGAGGTGGCAGATACCCTGGAGCTGAAGTTATAGACGGTTGTGAGCCACCTGGCTCAGGTGCTGGGAACCAAACTCAGGTCCTCTGCCAGAGCAGTACACACTTCTAATCACTGAGCCATCTCTCCTTTTTATTATTTTTTTATTCTTATTTTTTAAATATTTTATTATTTTTATTTTTATGTGTATGAATGTATTGCCTGCATGAATGTTAAGTGCACCCTTGTCATGCAATGCCTGCGGAGGTCAGAAGAGGGCATTAGATTCCCCTGGAACTGGAGTTACAGACAGTTGTTAGCTGCCATGTGGGTGCTGGGAATTAAACCTGGGTTTTCTGCAAGAACATCCAGCGTTCTTAATTGCTGAGCCCTCTCTCCAGCCCCATCTCTCCTTTTTCAAAAAAAATTTATTTTTATTTTTAATTATGTGTATATGTGTCTGTGCATGGGTTTGTGTGAATGCAGAGCCCTAGAGGCCAGAAGAGGGCATCAGATCCTCTGGAACTGGAGTTACAGTTAGGAGTCACCCAGCCCAGGTGCTGCAAACTGAACTCTGCTCATCTGGAAGATCCATATGTGCTCTTAACTGCTGAGCTAGTTCTCCAGCTCCTGCTTGTTGAGAGAAGGTCTGCTTGGGTAAACTTGGTGTGCAGGTTACAATTCCTTCCTTCCACTCCCACCCCGCCAGGCCACAATATTCCCTCCCAGGTTCATGTGCTCTTTTTAAAAACCCTCTGAAAGCCTCTGAGTCCACTTGGTGGTGCCCCTACACGTAGGGCCATCTACTGGAGTCACTCAGAGGCAACACCCATGTTGAAAACTGACTCTCCCTCCCCAAACAGTGATTTACTGCAAATAGCTCCTCAGCTAGGGGTGGGACTTTGTGACACCTCCCTCCCACATCCATGCTGGGATTTTGTTTGGTATGATTTTGCTCGCTGTCACAGCCCCTGTGATGTCACGTGTATGACTGTCCTGTCCTATCAAAACAACACTATTTCAATGTAGTCATCCACTACCTCTGGCTCTGCCCTCCCTTCAGTCCTTTTTTTTTTTTTAAGGTGAATAATATTCCTGTATGGACAGAGCACGTTTTGTTTACTCCTTAGTTGAGGAACATTGGGCTATTTCTACATTTGGGCTCTTATAAGTAAGATTTCTTGTGTGTGAATGTATATCTGGGTATATCCACCTAGAGGTAAAATTGCTGAGTCATGGAACATTTTCCAAAGCTGCCACATCATTTCCAACAGTGTATGAGGAGGATTCCAGTTTCTCTATGCCGACACCTGTACTTGTTATTATCCATCTTCTGAGGTTTAAAGAGTTATGCTTTGTTTTTGCAGCACTGGGGATTGAACCCAGGGCTTGACGCATGTCTTATCTATATTTCTAGTGAGCTATGACTTTTTTTTCAATCAACTTTTCCCAACGTCTGGGAAAGGAGGTGAGCTAGCCGCAGAAACTCTCACCTTGGAATCCACCTGCACAGTCCCTTCTCGGCACACCCTAATGGCAGAGACAGGAAGAGATGCGGAAAGACTGGGCAAGGGAAAGGAAGGCAAGGCTCTTCCCGCTCGTAATCTGGTCTGGGCTGGAGAACCCTGGACACGCAGCCTTTTCCCGTCTAGTCCCGCCCCGAGACGTGGGCAAAGAGAGGCCACGCCCATTCACCCCTTCCAGGGAGCCAGATCCACCCGGACTCCGCCCCGAGGCTTGCTCTCCGTTGGGGGCGGAGGCGGAAATAGGGTGGTGGACCTGGGTGGGGAGAGGGTCAGGAAAGGCCTGGCGCTGTGCCCGGGCGGTGCTGCGCGCCCAAGTTGGAGCTGGCCCCCCTTCCCCAGAGCTTCCATTCATTTCGGGCCAAAGAACGCTCCCCCCCACCACTGTACCTCTGCACTCGCAGGGCTCAAGGGAAGGGGTGCTGCCCACCACCCCCACGGCGGCCGTGGGGGTGGTGGGCAGACGCAGAGGGACAAATCTGCCTGGCCGAGGGTCCCGAGCCCCTGGATGAAGTTGGGGGGCCATGCACAATGATGGGGTGGGAAGCATAGAATCAAATTCTGGAAGGTCCCAGGATTAAGTGCGGGTGTAGATGCCCTGGACGTTCCGAGAGTTGCAAAATCAGGGTCCATTGAGGTGCTCAGTCAGGGGTTCTGGGACACAGTTAGATAGTGTCTAGGTGGACAGTATATGGATGCAGAGTCTGGGGTTCGGAGTCGCAGGTTACGTAGGATCTAGGTGGAAGGACAACCTTTCCAGTGAGGGTCATTGAGGTGCAGGTGCACAGTCTGGGGTTCCAAGGCGCAGGTTAGATAGGGTCTAAGTGAACAGGACAACTTTTTGAGGGTCATTGAGGTGCTGGTGCACAGTCTGGGGTTCTGGGATGCAGGACAGGATAACCTTTCAAGTAAGGGTCATTGAGGTGGAGGTGCACAGTCCGGGGCCTGAGGGGTGGGGGCGCAGGCTAGATAGGGTCTAGGTGGACAGAACAACTTTTGAGGGCCATTGAGGTGCCTGTGCACAGTCTGGGGTTCAGGGGCACAGGTTACATAGGGTCTAGGTGGACAGGACAACATTCCGAGGGAGGGTCTGGGGTTCCCCAGGTGAGTTTGGGGACCAGCCATCCAGGTCAGTGGCCCTGCACCGAGAGCTGGAGGACCCTGGCCGGGCACCGGTAGGCGGCTCCAGGCGGCACCGCGGGGGACCCGGTAGGGGCCTGCGGCCGGCCGGGGGCGGAGAAGCGGGGGGTCGGGGTCCCTCCCCCTGGCGCGGGCTCAGGAATCCGCTGAAGGGCGGGCGGAGGAGCCGGGGTGGGCCGCGCCGGGCGGGCGGGGGGCGCTTCCTGGGGCCGCGCGTCCAGGGAGCTGCGCCGTCCGCCTGTCCGTCCGCCCGCAGCTCTGCCCGAGTCAGCCGAGCCACCCGGCGCCGCGAGCCCGAGTGAGTGGCCATCCCGGCGGGCAGGGCGCGGGCCGGAGCCTCGGTCTAGTCGGCGCTGCGGAGCCCAGAGGCCTGCGCTCCAAGACTCGCAGAGCGGGGGCGGGGGCGGGGCGGTGGACCCAGGCCTGGGAAGAGCCATCAGGCCCCCGGCCCCGTCCAGAGTAGGCTGGGGCTCCGGCTCTGCGACCCGATGCTGGGGATGCGGGGTGTCGTGGCAGAAGCCCCTGACCCCTGCCCACCACCTCCCAGCCCCAGGATGCTCCCTTTCGCCTCCTGCCTCCCCGGGTCTCTGCTGCTCTGGGCACTGCTGCTGCTGCTCTTGGGGGCAGCGTCTCCCCAGGATTCCGAGGAGCCCGACAGCTACACGGTGGGGACCCCAGAGTCACTGTCTTGGGACGGGATGGGCAGGGAGAGAGAGACCAGGATCCTAACTGGGGTGGTTGTTGCTAGGGCAGATTGTCCCCTCGTTTGGTTGGTGGAATGGCTAGGGGCCATTGTGTGGCGCTGACCTGAGCCTGGCTGAGCTCAGGCCCTGGTCTTGGCCTGGATAGTTGGAGGAGACCGCAAGGGTGATCACAGGCCACCTCGGATTCCCTTCCAGGAATGCACAGATGGCTATGAGTGGGACGCAGACAGCCAGCACTGCCGGGGTAAGTGTGCCTGGGGTACCAGCCATCTCCAAGAACTGAGAAAGGGACTATTTCCCAGGGGCACTTCATCTCCGGGAGCCTGATGGCCTGTTCACTGCCTAGCTTTGCTGGGCCAAAGCCAG